GAACCCGCCTGCTGAGCCGCCACCTCCCCATCGCCCTCCACGCCAGCCGGCTCCATCGCCAGACCTCCCAGCTGACAAGCGCACATTCAGGGGGTTGCCAGCTGATGGTGCCGCGGCGGCCTCCCAGCCACCCGCTTCTTTGGCTGGAGCAATTGCCAGGGCTTGCATGGTCGCCGGCAGCGGGGAGCGCGTCAGCGGCCATTGGGGACCATGCCAGCGGTTCTGTGCCACGGAGGCTTGAGGCGCAGGACGCGGAGCGGTGCGGTGCTGTGAGAGGCGGCAGGGACAGGGGGGAGGGGTTACCTGCATCCTGCCGGCCGAACTCTGGAATGAAGAATTTTAGAGGGAGTTGAAAGCGAGACAGGTTCCTAAGACCATCGGAAATATGTGTTTTCCGATGGTCTTAGGCGACCCCTGTGAAAGGGTCGTTTGACCCCCAAAGGGGTCGCAACCCACAGGTTGAGAACCGCTGTTGTAGAAGAACCTTTAGAGATGATTCCTAAGCTATGGGGAAAGATAGAACAGTATGGAGAAATGGCAGGATTAAAAATAAAGAAAGAAACAACTAAGGTAATAGTTAAGAATCTCACAGATAAACAGAAAAAGCAAATGCTAGAGAAAACAGAAGTACAGATAGTGAAAAAAGTTAAATATTTAGGTATATATCTTTCGGCCAAATGTTCGTCAATAAAAGAAGATAACTATATAAAATTATTGAAACAAATAAAGCTGGACTTGGAAAGATGGAAGAATCTGCAATTGTCAATATTAGGAAGAATTGCTACAGTAAAAATAAATGTATTGCCGAAGATTTTATTTTTATTTCAAACAATTCCGATAAAACTTAATAAAAAATTCTTTCAAGATTTAAACTCATTAATTTTGAACTTTGGCAAGGGAAGAAAGCTAGAATTAAGATGAAAACATTACAAGACGCTAAGGAAAATGGAGGATTTGGGTTGCCGGAATGGGCGTTGTATTATCAATCATCTGTCTTAACATGGGTAAAAGAATGGATAATGCTTAGAAATAAAAGGTTGTTATATCTAGAGGGGCATGATTTACAATTGGGATGGCATGCTTTCTTATGGTATGGAAAAAACAGAGCTCATAAGTATTTCCAAAACCACTATATAAGAAATGCCTTGTTAATAGTATGGGAAAAAATCAAAGCTAAAATATACTTTAAAATTCCAGGGTGGCTATCAACGATGTAGGCATTTGTACATCTGAACTTGGTAGATTTTGAAAAAATATGGGCATATAGAGATATTCTAAATATTGATGGGAATTTAAAATCTAAGCAAGAACTGGAAAATCAGGGGATCAACCTGTTGTGGTGGGCATATTTACAGATGCAAAATAGATATGAAAAAGACGTGAAAATGTATGGATTCTATAAAGATCAAACTGTATTTGATAAGATTTTGTTAACCTCAGATGAGAAATTAATTAAGAAAATGTATAATTTTTTGTTAATTTGGGAAATGGAAAGTGAACAAGTTAAAGAAACAATGATAAGATGGGCGAAAAACTTTGGCTACAATATAGAACTAGAAAAGTGGCAAAAGCTATGGGAGAAAAATTACAAATTAACAATGTCAACTTCATATAAAGTTTGTTGGTTGAAAAATTAACATATGTATGTAAAAGAAAATCAATAAAATCTTTATAAAAAAAACAACTGAATTTGGAAAATGAACATGTAAAAACACTGTATGATCCAGTGGGCAAGGAATTTTGGGTATAATGTGATGTTTGAACAATGGGAGAATATGTGGAGAAAAGGCTTAAAATTCACATTAAATTATAACCTAAAATAAAATTTCTACAAAATGATGTATCACTGGTATTTAACAACAGATACGTTATCTAGAATGTATAAAGGTATTTCAAATGAATGTTGGAAATGTAAATGTAAAGAAGGGACTCTTTATCATTTATGGTGGACATGTGATAAGGCAAAGAAATATTGGAGTAGGATTCATATATTAATAGAGAAAATTCTTAAAGTGAACATAAAGTTTAAACCATAAACTTTCCTTCTGGGCCTAATGGAAAGAGAACTGGAAAAAAAAATGGAACTCTGATTTTATATATGATAACGGCAGCAAGATTGCTCTATGCACAAAAGTGGAAGGATGCCTCGATTCCTACCGTGGACGAATGGTTACAAAAGCTGATGGAATTAGCAGAGATGGCCAAATTGACTGTGCTGATAAAAGAAAAGAACATAAGTACTTTTGTTTCTACTTGGAAACCGCTTCTGGATTTTGTGCTTGAGGTGGAAAAAAATGATATCATGATTTTGGGTTTTACCGATTAGACTGATTTGCCGATACAGAAATGTCTAGTGCATACTACTATAGAAATGTAAAAAGTTGAGATTTGATTTTAATGTCTGATTTTACTGCAACAGAGAGAGTCGGAAGTCAGTGCCTTTTGTTTCTCCCCCCCCCTTTTCTTCACACCTTTTTTGTTTTCCCTTTTTCTACTGTTGTCCCCTACTATTTGCTTTTGTATTTTCACATTTTATGTTATAAATGAATAAAACTATTTAAAAAAACAAACAAACAAACATTCCCCAATAGTCTAGGAAGCCATTTAAGGGCAGAAATCCAATATTATGAAGAAGTTTTTATAAGGATAATTTTACATTACTTTATCACAAATAGAAATGTATGATAAATTAACTGAAAATAAATCTATACTTCTTTGCTGTTAGGACCATCCAGATTTTTGTAGTCCAAATCTGATAATACTAAAGAATCTCTTGCTATGGCTCCTAAATAAAACCTGTGACGTTAAAAAAAAAAAGAAGACAACAATCAGGATCAGTGGCAATGATTATGTCTATCAACAACAGCGATGTCTTCTAGCAATAGCAATAGCACTTAGACTTATATACCACTCCATAGTGCTTTACAGCACTCTCTAAGCGGTTTACAAAATCAGCATATTGCCCCCAACAATCTGGATCCTCATTTTACCAACCTTGGAAGGATGGAAGGCTCAGTCAACCTTGAGCCTGTCAGGATCAAACTCCAGATTATGGGCAGATTTAGTCTGCAATACTGCATTCTAACCACTGCGCCACCAGGGCTCCTACTTCTACTGCTACCTAGATCACTGGAAGACCACCCAGGAGAGAGAAAATGCCCATTAGCAGGGCATCGACACCACGGCCAAAAGGAACACCACAAAGCTGCAAGTTGAAGCTAGTGATGGTGATAGTAATAATAAAGCCATAAACAAAGCCATTGCGACCAGCTATGGGAATCGTTTCTACATTCCGCTGGACTTCGAGTTGCTGGAGAGCCACATGCCGTACTACTGGAGTGCGCTTGGGGACCAGCTTCAGTACAAGCTCACTTTCAATGGTTACGGGTGTACACCATCGATAACAACAGTCTGAAGTCTGACAGATTTGGAGCCCTTTTGCAAGGAAGAGCAGGCAAAGATTCCCAAGGCAAGATGTGCCATGCTGATAGGCTCCTACCCCAAAAGGCTAATTGCTGTCATAAAATCAAAAGGTGCTTCAACAAAGTATTAGTTTAAGGGTGTGCACACTTATGTAACCACATTATTGTATGTTTTTTATTTTTATTTTTCCCCTAAACAATTTCAGTTTGTTTTTCAATTGAATTGTACAGCTTATATACAAATTTAATAAACAAACAAACATATTAACGAAAAAAATTCTGAAGTGATTTATCTTCGTCTGTTTTTACATCTCAAAAAAAGGTTGACTTCCTCTTCTTTGTGGCAACCCCTCAGATATTGAAACACTGCTATCATGACACCCCTAGTCCTTCTTTTCATTAAACTAGACATACCCAATTCCAGCAACCATTTTTTTTCTATTTTTAGCCTCCAGTCCCCTAATCATCTTTGTTGCTTGTTGCTCTTCTCTGTACTCTTTCTAGAGTCTCAACATCTTTTTTTACATCGTGGTGACCAAAACTGGATGCAGTATTCCAAGTGTGGCCTTACCAAGGCACTATAAAGTGGTATTAACACTTCACATGATCTTTCAGTTTGCAAGAAATGGAGGTGCATCCTCATCATCTTATGTCTTCTGTAAATGCATGTTTTGTGATTGATCACATCCACTATGAGAGCCATTTTGTGAATAAACAAGCTTTCCATAGCACTATTTTGTGAGAGGAAATATTCTCCGAAATTGAACCTGTGGTCACCAGCCAAAATGGTTTCTTACTCTTGATCCAAAAACCTATAACATTCACCACATTCCTTTGCTTCTTAGTAAGTTGTGCCCAAATCAAATAATATAAAAAATTCTGTAACAATTTCACAATGGTTTATCTCCACATAACAACAAATAACATTCCATTGGGTTATTTCTTTATAGAGTTTTATCTGTTTTCCATTTAAAAAATAATCTCTGAATGGAATACAACTCAAGCTAATAGGAATACTATCATACTAAACACAGCAATATAATACAAATCCCCTAGTTGAACAAGCTTTCAGTTGTTAATACTGAAAACTAACAACTGCCACTGAACTAGGCAGGAATTCCTAGTTCTCAGTATTAGTGCCTGTAGTGAAACATCCTTTCTCAATTTACTGCACAGAGAATCTCTGGCAAATGTCCCTGACTGGGCAAATAAATAAGGAAGAATGCTTAGGATTCAGATTCTATGCCATATAACATTTTACCAACACAAGAACAATGAACTTGGCTAAATAGCATGCCAACAGCCAGTGAAATCTGTTCAAAACCTACTCTGTGGGATTTTACAATAGCTGCAGTTTCCAGGACAACTTAAAAAAACAACACAGGCAATAAAAGCTTCCTCTACCTTGAATGGCAGTATTCAACAGGATGATAGAAAAAAACATTTTAAGAATGAATTATACCTATTGCCAGATTTATTTTTCAGCTATAGGCAACATTTAAATGTGTGTGATATTATCAGCGATATGGGAAATGAACTAGGAAATTAGAGGATAAAACCTTCTCCCAGAATACGTACCTTTTCTTTAGCAAAGAATCACAATACCGTGCCAACAACTCTGGAGATTTACTAGATGACTGGGCCATTTTTGTCACTGAATTATTATTTATGAAGCGACCACAAGCCTGTGAAACACATAAGTGACATGTTCAGACACTTTCAATAACACTCACTTGCTATTTATAAATACAGTACTTAAACATACTACCTTGTCTAAAGCTGCAACAAACCCAGCGTCATTGTTGAAAGCAGACATGACTAGTGCATTGTATTTCTTATGAACATCCAACACTGTTTGTACATACATTTTTGGATCCTAAAAATTAAAAAGAAAGCAATGACAAACTCTCCCAACTTCTGTCAACTGCAAGTTTGGGGGCAATCTTTTCATGTTCAGCCATTTAAAAATAGCTTAATCACATTACTTTTACTCAAACCCAGTACTAATGTATTTCTTTTAACACAAAGCTTCTGATTGTATCACCACCAAGGTAACCTGTTCTTACCAGGATGAAAACACATGCTCCTTCAACAAAATCTTGCCCAGACATTTTATTGTATCAAAACAAATGAAATCAGTTTTTCCATTTTTCCTAATAATTTATTTAAACAGTTCTCAAAATGTGGTCTGGGAAACCCTGGGGGTTCCTAATACCCTTTCAGGGGGTCTGCAAAGTAAAAAAAAAAATCCTTATTTTTAAATTTCTCCATTTTAATTTCTAACACAGTAATAGTGATAGATGCAAACCACATAAACCTTTTTGGGTCCTCATTTTAAGAATGTAAAGGGGTCCTGAGAACACATTGTTTGAGAACCACTGCTTTATTACACACAAACACACATAATACATATATTTGTGTACATGTTTATGTATGTTGGAAGAAATCATTTGGGCCAACCTCCACCCAGTGCATAAATCCAAATTCAAGCAATCAGGTGAATGTTTCTCAGTTCATCTTTAAACACATTCAGCAAAGGAGAGTCTACTGTCGCCTTAGATAAGTGATTCTGTTGTCAAACTGCTTAATTGTTAGAATATTTTCTCTTAAAGGCAAATCAAATCTGCCTTCTTGAAACATAAGACCATTATTATTCATGCTGTGTCTGAATGATAAAGAACAGCTTATGACATTATGATCTTCAAGGTACTACAAAAATGCTATTATACCCCCTTTTTTCCTCAACTGTAATACAAGCAGTCCTTGCTTAACAAACATCCATTCAGTGATCATTCAAAATTATGATGGTGCTGAATAAAGGGGCTTGACACCTACCCACCCCCGCTCGAACCTAGGACTGTTGCAGTACCCTTGCAGTCACATGATTGCAATCTGGGTGCTTGGCAACCCATTCACACTTATGACTGTTTGCCAAGAACCCTGCAATCATGTGATCACCATTTGCAATCTTGCCTGCTTGCTTCCCCAGAAAGTCAATTCAGCCTGGCTGATTCCTAGGGCAGAGGTCCCCAACCTTTTGAGCACCAGGGGCCGGTTCTGTAGAGAGAGGTTTTTCTGCAGACTGGAGGGGGTGTGGTTTCATGTACTGCCTGCATCCCGCAGATGGGGCTTTGTTTGCGCGGCCAGGTTTCTGGCATGCCGTGAGACTGGTAAGCCCCATCTTGCCGGCAGCAGACCCCTTGTGTCTGTGGATGGGCTCCCCAGGCCTTGCCCATGTGGAGCCAGGTAGTAAAGGGAGTTTTGAGAGTTTGAGCTCAAGGGCTGCTTTGGAAAGAAGGTGAAGGTGAGTACCTCTAAATTTTAAGTTTAAAGCCCAGGGGAACAAAGAAAATGTGTGTATGTCTGTGTGTGTGAGTGAGAAGACCCTTTTTCCCAATCACAGTTGGATTTTGCTCCTTCTGGTCTTTCCTAGCCGCAGAAAGGATCTGTTTAATTGGCAGAACCTGGAAAGCATGGGGGTTGGGTCAGAGCACAGAACCTTTTGTAAGGAAAAGGGAGAGGCTATGTGAAAATGAAATGGAATGAGTGAATGATAGAATTGGATTTGGGCAACTAGCTGACAAGGCCCTGTAAGCAAAGTTAGGAAACTAAGCCCCGGGCTAGGAAGCCCCGGGCTAGGAGCGGTCCACTTACCTCTGAGAGCAAGCAGAGGTCCGCAGCGGATGTTAGGGGTCTGCAAAACAGTAGCAGTGAAGCCGGCCGGTGGGAGAGTAACCCGTACCTTCTGAGGGGAAACCAGAAGTGTCTCTACAGACCCCTTTTTGGTCTGAAAACGTGGCGGATCCCTCAAGGAGCCCACGTACTCTGAGAGGGATCCAGAGTGCTCCATGAGTCCCCTTTTTGGACCCACAAAACCGTGGTGGAAGGAGGAAGTCTCACAAGGAGGCTTCCGGTGTATAGTGCCCAATACAAGGGCTGAGATAGGTTCCCCGGTTGAGAGCTTGCTTGAGGCCTGGTATGGGAATCAGCTACCTGTTCAGGCAGGTATGAAAAAAGAGATAGGTAAAGAAACTATATGTTAAAAAAATAAATAAATAGACTTTGCTTAGGGCTTTGCTGGGAAACCAATTTGGCTAAATAAAGGTACTTAAAAGGGAAAATAAGAAATAGTGATTTTCTCTCTCTCTATCTCTCTCTCTCTTCTCTATGCAACCACGTGGTATGTTTAAGATCTGTGCCTTCCCTAATTTGAGCTATCTGAAACTTATGGTGGGAATGACTAGGATGTGTAAACCTAAGACTTCTGTTCTCTTGTCTTTATGTATATATGTTTGTCAAAGTCTGTGTGTGAGAGGTAAATGTGACTGTTAACTGTTTCAAATCCAAAGAAAAAAAAGAATTTTAAATTCTGCTAGAAATTCTGCTTAAAATAAGCCACAAAAAGGAAATACCTCACTCTGTTTGTCTGGCCAACAAACAGAGTGAAGAAAAAAAATGTGTTTGTTTGTTCGTTTGTTTGTTTTTCTTCTTCCTTTCTCTCTCTGTACTCTTAAGAAAAGCCCAAAGTTAGCAGGAGGAATGTTTTAAGTTCATCTGCTAGAAAGATTTCATTCTTGACTTCCGGTTGGCTCGGCGGCTGCCGAAGGAGGTTGTTTGACAGCCTCCCGTCCGGGACTGTGTAAAAATCGCCAAAATAGCGCGTATCAGCTGTTTGGCGGTTTGAAACTTCTCTCCGGGCAAAGGAGAGAAGGAGAGCTTACTCTGGAGTAGGAGTCGAGTTCCCTAGTCTCCCTGGGTGCTTCCAGCGAGGCGAAGGTGAGAACTCCTCCGGAGCTCAGAGTTCCTCCGCAGATCGGGACGTCTTCGCTATTAGCGAAGCCAGACGCCGTCTCCACCTCTGATGTTTTTTCAGAATTTAATTGTGAGTACTTTCAACAGACGGAGCTAACTAGGAAACTTGGACTTTTTATAAATAAATTAAAACTGTGACTCAGAAGATTAAGTACTCTTCTCAAATGATTGAAAACTGAAAGTTAACTTTTGGAGGAAAAAAAATGGCTGCGGCTTAGCCGCTTCTTTGTTCTAAAGAGACACTTTCACTTTCCTTCCGGTTGTGGATTGCTACATTGTTAAGACTGTAAAGAATTCTCAAAAAATAAGGAAAAATTAAAGTAAAATCTGTCTGATCTTCAGCTGCCTTGGACTGTATATTAAGACTTTTTTTAAACTTAAGAATGGCTTCTAAACGAGGTGTAGTTCCTGCACCACTTAAATCAGCTGTTTCCTCTCCAGCTGTACAAACTACGCAACAGAGAGCTAAAACTGCTCCACCCTCTTCACCACCTTATATTACTTTAAAGGACCTGCAGGATTCTTTGATGCAGATGCAGATGTCTAAACAAATTGTACAACAAATGAGAGTGGAGACAGAAGAACTTCTTGTTAAAAAGAATGATGAATTGTGTGAGAGTATGTCTCAAATTTTTCAGGGCTTTGCTTTTCATATGGATCGTATAGAGAATCGTGTGGAGGAAGTGGGAGAAAAAATGGAAGGGATGGAGGAGAGAATGGAAAAAGTAGAAGAGAGTATAGAGATTACTCAAAATGATATTGTAATGTCACAATTCAGAGAGATGGAACATGCAATAAGAATTAGAGGCCTTCAAGAGAATGCACAGGAGAAATTGAGAGAAGAGGTATCAGCTGCCCTAGCGTTGGTTTTAGACTGCGACCCTGAAATTATCTATGGAGAGATTGAAAAAATATTTAGAGTCAATTCATGGGTTGCACGTCAGAGAAAACAGCCTAGGGATGTTGTTTATTTTTCTAGAAAAGTACGTCGAAATGAAATTATACAGGCCTTCTACCAACAGAGATTTCAGATTGCTGCTCAGGATATTATACTTTTGAAAGAAATACCTTCAAAGATTTTAAAAAAAAGAAAGGAGTTTGCTTTTTTGGCTCAAGAGTTGAAGAAGCAGCAAATACCTTTTAGATGGGAAATACCAGTTGGAATGGCCTTTACATTTGCTGGGAACCGTTATAGACTCAATACATTACAGAAGGCAAAAAAATTTTATCTAACGGTTCTGAAAGCTGATTCATCTTCTATATCACCAGCTAAAGGAACAGAAGGAGTAGAACAACTGATTGTGGATTTACCTGGAGCTATGTCGCTATCTGCAGGAGATTTTCAGAACTTACAAGTGTTGGAGGCAAAACAGGATCCAAAAGACCAGAGAATGACACGTGCGGCTCATAGGCGTAAGGAAAGAGAGCAACAGAAAGAGGCTTTGCCCCAAACATGTTCAACTACTTCGGAGCCAGTGGGAGGGGCCAGACCTAAAAGATCTGTTACAATGGATCTTCAAGGGATGATTCAGAAGCTCCAAAAACCAAAGGATGGTTAAGTTAATAACTTTAAATGTTAATGGATTGAATTCTCCACAAAAAAGGAGAAAAATATTTTATTATTTGAAGCAGCATAAGAATGATATTATATGTCTACAAGAGACACACATTACATTTAAAGATCAAAAGTACTTATTTAATCCTAAATTGGGTTTACATTTTGCGGCCTCCTCTCAAAAGAAAAAAGCGGGTGTAGTTCTCTATATTAAGAAGGAATTGATGCCAAAATTAATAGATGCTGATGCAGAAGGAAGATTTGTACTTGTGGAAATCATTTTGAATGGGAAAAAATGTCTTCTTGTGGGCTTATATGCACCAAATTTATATCAACAACAAAAGCAATTTTTCACTGTTCTGCACCAAAAGATAACGCAATTGGATTATAAATCGGTTATTATGATGGGAGACTGGAATGGTGTAATAGATCCAAAAAGAGATAAAAAGACTTCAGCTAAAACTTCAACGCAAATTAAATTGCCTAAAAGTTTTTTTGCTTTACAGGAA